CACGAGGACTAAGTTTCAGTTTCAGATCCAGTGCTGTTTCCTGGCAATCATTTGTTTTGGCTGAAGGGCGTGTCTAAGGCAGCAGTAGCATGCTCTGCCCCATTTGGTAAATCACATAGTCCATCAGGCAGAGATTTGGGGCTGGATTTGTAAATCATCTGATTTCCAGTAAATCACTCATTTCCCTAGGAAGAGTTTTAGGACAGGATGTACTGAAGCTACTGGCACTGTGCTGCTTGTAGTTCTTGCAAGCAGCAAGAACTACAAGCAGCCACTTTCCAGGAGTACAGACACTGCCAAGACCCTTCACCTGCCTGCTCAAGGGCTGTCTCAGACCCAGGGGTCTCCCAGACAGCTTTCTAGGGTGCAAAAGGGCTCCCCAGCCTACTGTCCCATTACACTCATGAGGCTTTGAGCAGAAAAAAAATGAGTGCTGGTTACACTTAGTGTCAGAGGGTCACTTTGGGGATGCACCATCCTGCTTGGGCTGGAAAAGATGATTTCTTGGGACCAGCTCTTCCTGGAATAGGACAATAAGAGTTTTATCCTGCACCCACCACAGCAGGATGCAGGACCAGTTTTAGCCCATCTTTCCTGGGACATATGCACAAACTGCACAAGGTTTGGTTTAAATGGAAAATCTTTAATTTCATATGGTACCTTTTGAGACAATTTTCTCCGGAGCAGATAACATCAGGGGATGCTGGGACCCAGTGATCCTGCTGAGGAGGCTCCTGGTCTGCCAAGCCTGGTGAGAGCGAAACAGTTCTCCCTCCTTTCAGCCCACCCGAATGAAGGTGTTGCGACCGGTCCTGTGAGGAACCAATAGCTCATTGGTGCCCAGTGCAGCTATTGGGTAGGGATCCCAGGTGGACGGGGTGTCCTTTGGCTCACCTGGTGGCTTTCCAGTCACTGTGCAAGGAGTCGACCTTCTCCCGCAGCAGCCAAGAGGTCTGCAGGACCTCGTCCCCCTTGTCCCCAGTGAAGCACTGGCCCACGAAGACAGCTGTGGAGTCTGGAACAGTGGTGGCTCTTAGCACCCCAGAAGGACCCCAGCTGATTTTGGGGCTTCACAAGCATTAGTGGACTAAATGCTCACAGAGCCCGACTGTATCCGATGTTTGCAGGGAAATGCTGCGTGGCGGAGATGCTGCCAAAGCAACTCTTGGCGCCATCACACCCAAACAGTGTTTCAGGAGGTGTCCTGCTGTCTGCAGACACCATCCCCAGTGGGGAGGGATTGGGGATGCACAGATGGGGGACAGGAGAGAGAGAACAGAGATTGGGATGGGCACTTGGGGCCCGCATGAGGTCCCCTCCCCATCCTACTACCCCATCCACAAGCAGCCATAGCTGCAGCTACAGACCTGAAAACTTCTTCCAGTTGACAGTGAAGCCGAAGGTGCACTGCCCATCCTTGTCCAGGTGCTGGGAACCAACAAAGGGGGATGGCTGGATGGGTTTGTCAGCGCTTGACACGGCAGTGTGGTACTCGCCAGAGAAGTTGCCCTCACTGTCGACCTCGAACACGTGCATCCTGGAGCCCAGATCATTCTCCCACCAGCCGGTCAGGTCACACCGCTGGGGACAGGCAGATGTGTCCAGGGGGCTGCCTGCACACAGCCCCTGCCCCGCAGCTGTGCCCCCTGCCCACACCCCCCAAAGCCCACAGGATGTTGTCACTCACCTTGCCACTCCCTGCGGGGCTTTTCTGCTGGCGGCCCTGCCACCACTTGCTGTTGCTCCCCTCCTTCTCACTGGCCTTTTCCCCCCTTGGGATCTCGGCTTCCTGGCACAGGAGCTTGGAAAAGAAAAGTACACAGGTCGAGGTGTGGACAGTGGCACTGCAGGGTATCTCTGAAGCCCCACGAGTGACCGATCAGGCATTTGTTTTTAAAAGACAGGATTTATAAAGTCGCTGCCATCTCAGCTGTGCCAGGAGGGTCAAAAGCTGGAGTAAGCCAAGCAAAGGGAAGAGGTGAAGAGGAAAAGCTAAAGGTGGGACTGGCAGGAACACAGGCAACACCCCGTGCTGTAGCCCTGCCAAGTGAGCTGTGCGAGCCCAGGGCACATCTGTCCACGTCTGAGGAGACATGTGCAGTTCTCAGCTCTCATGTGTGGCATGAGTGGGGAGCCCTCAGGTCCATGCACACCCCACCTGTAAGGCTCCACTTCCACTTCTAAGCACTGGCTGTCCTCTTCCACACTGCACCTTCCCAGGCAGGGGTAAGTCACACCCCTGGGGCAGGGGCCCCATCCTCCCTCTCTCTCTCCTCGGGGAGAAATGAGGGGTCCCCACATGCATGCCCCTTGCACCAGGGAAGGAATCCCCATGAAAATTCCTCTCGGGGACTCAGAGTGCCCCGGAACGTCTCTTCCCTCCTGGGAGGGTAGGGGCACCGTCGGCAGGGGCACTGTCTGTGCACCCCGAGGAGTAGGGGGTCCTCCAGCTGACAGGGATTCCCCCCTCAGATGCGTCTTCCACGCGTGACCCTCTCCCACGCGCGTCCCCCCCCGAGCTCCTGGACCCCCAGGCGTGCTCCCATTAAGCCTCTCCTGGGGCCCAGTTTCCCACTCGAGTGTCCCAGCAGGAGCTCCCACCTGGCATCCCGCCGCGGCCGCGGCCGCGGCCGCCCCGGCGGGCAGGGCGAGGACCGAGAGGAAGCGGCGGCTCATCGGGATGCAGCGGAGAGACCGAAACTCGCCGTGGCAGTGCCGCCGCCGTGTTTTATATCCCGGCTCCTCAGCTGCTTTCCCGGAAAGCCCTGGAGCGGCATTTGCAGGAGGAGCGGGGATGGGAATGGGGACGGGGACAGGGACGGGGATTGGAGGAGAGGAGAGGAGGATGTTGAAGAGGCGCGGGAGCTGGGAACGGAGTTGGGGATGTGGACAGGGAGGAGGGATAGGGGATGTGGATAGACATGGGGACGGGAACAGGAACAGGGATGGGGATGGAAGCAGGGGTGAGGGGGATGGGGCAAGGATGAGGATTGAAGGTCAGGATGAGGATGGGGATAGGGACTGGAATGGGGGTGGGGATGGGCATGGGGACTGGAACAGGGGTGGAAATGGACGCGAGGTCTGGAATAGGGATGGGAACGGGGATGGGTTTGAACCAGGATGTAGGAGGAAATGCATGGGGCTTCCCACTGGCATCACCCAGTCTGGGGGACCTTAGCCCCATGTCTACTGGTTGGGGGCTGTGTCTGGGCTTCCACCCTGTCCTGCAGGAACTGCTGCACCCCAAACCACTCCCTGGTCACTGCAGAGGATGGACAGAAGGACAGGGAGTCAAGAGGTGTGAGCAAGGATATGTGGGTGTGGACAGCTGGTGACCTTCAGGGGGTGCAGGTAGATGAAGGAAATGAACCTGCTCCAATAGCAATAGGAAAACCCCAGGCGTTGTGGGCTGGAGGTGGGCAGCCCTGTTTGTACATACCAGACAAAAGCAAAAGTGACAAGGGCAGAATCAGGTCAGGTTCAGGGCCAGGGTATGGAATGTTCGAGACAGCTGACAACCATAGCCTTTTGCAGCGGGAATGGCACTGCCAGTGCTGGTTTCTTGTAAATGCTACAATTTTGCTTTCTGTTTCCTTGTTTAGCAAGTAGAATGCTTACTTCCTCTCCTACTCCATGGGCTACCTTCTTATGAGACCCTAAGAGACAAGGAATTTGCAGTCATGTGGGTAATGAAAGAAATGAAATCTCGTGCTCTGATCCAGCAAGGTTCTCCGTCTCCCCATGGGCTCACCCACTGGGCCTCCCAGCCTCATCTTCCATTCCCACTGGAGTCCCAGGGCTTTAACCTCACAGACCATTCAGAGAAACCTTTGGGGGCCTGAAGAACCAGCTCATGGTGCTAGTCACAGCCGCAGTGGGTGTTTGGGGAGAGGGAGCATGGGAAGGAGACCATTATGGCCAGGGCAGTGCCAAGGATTCCCGTGTGCAATGGGGATGAACTGAGGGCTGTGAGGGGAAGACAGGATGCATGAGGATGAAGATGCAGGGGTGGCTCTTGACCAAAAGCTGGACCACCAGCCACATCAACCAGTTGTACTCAGTATAAGTACACGTTAGATAGCCTGTGTACTCTTTGGGACCTGGTGTGGTGCTAACAGCAGTCCAAAAGCCCAGCAGGGAATGAGGGAGAGGAGCAGAGGCTGAGGAAGGTTGGGGAAGGGCAGGCACACTGTGAGAGGAAGAGAATGACCAACAGGCCCTGTCACTTTCTCAGAGCACTGTGTGCTTTCTGCCCCCAAAATCCCTGCCCCATTTGGTAGTCGCTTCCACCAGCCATCCGGCAGTCAGTTTAAGGTACAGATGACATCCTGTAAATTTGAACATCAGAAAAGATCTATATCCTGCTCCACCCTCTAGCTAATCAGAAAACAGGCAATTAGTGGGAAATACATGCATAGCTGTGTACATAGAGCATGGACTCCTTCAGTATCTGGCTTTAGCCACCCAGTCTACCCAGTAGCTTCCCCTAGAGCTCCAGGTCCTTCTCATACTCCCTCCAGTATCCAACATGGGCTTTGGACCACCCCAACAACCCAGATGCCACTCTGTGGAGCCAGCTCTCCCCTACATGTGCACACATCACCAAGCCCACCATCCACAGCAATAGCTGGTAACGGAGGCAGAGACACAGGATGAGGCCGGGTGACAGTACTGGCTTGCCAGCACATGGCCTTCTCCCTGATCACTGACTGTGGGATATCCCACTGCTCCACTCTGGGAATGCTGCCTGGGACCATCCACCACAGGGCCTCTGTGAATGTCCCAAATATGCATGGGCAAGAAGGAACCCACTGAGGCCTGAAGCCATGATCAGGTTGCAGAATTACCCAGTTACTGTGCTCCCCTGTCCCCTAGCTCCATCTATCCAAACCCCTCCAAAAAAACTTCCCTGTGCTCCCCTAGTCACCACCCATCCCCCACCTTGCTCTGCCCATGGCCACAGAGTGGCTGCTTGCATCCCAGGGACACAGGGTGCATGGCTCTCTGCCAGCTGGAGAAGGATTTATTTGGCTCCACGTGTGGGAGCAGCAAGGTTTGGGAAGGGACAACCCCACCAGCAGGTTGCTGGGAGACACTGGGAAGAAGCACGGCAAGGTGAGGGTGTGTTTCCTGACCGGGATGCTGGGAGCAGGCAGGAGCCCAGCCTGAGACTGGAACAGTGGAGAGCCTTTGGGGATGCAGAAGGACAGCAGGTCGCAGGCAGCTCTGGGCCCTTTTCCCATCGCTTGATTCAAGTGAAGATGGAGGTGCCAACCGTGCAGGGAACACATGTCAGGAGGAGGGGAGTGAAGGCTGCAGGGTGGGAGGGCCAGGGCAGGGCTCATCTGGTGGCTTTCCAGGTGTCCCTGTGGGATGTGACCTCTTCCCGCAGGAGCCATGTGGTTTCCAGTGTCTCCTTCCCACTGTGATCCACAAAGCACTGGCCTACAAGAGCGGTGGTGGAGTCTGGCAGGGTTTGAGAGAGGCTGAGGGGGCTAAGAACCTGCACGTAAAGACAGAGACACCTGGGCCACTTGATACTGACAGGCAGACAGACAGACAGACTGACAAACACCACACCACCACATTCCGTGGACAGAGAGATGGACCTGCCTGCCAAATTGGCCAAAGGGAATGGTTGCACATCACCTGGACAAACAGATGGGCACCAACCCTGCCATGTCCCTTAGACAGACAGATGGACACCCCTGCTACCCCCTCTAGACAGACACCTCTCCCATCACCCCGTCCCAGGGCAGAAGCAAGAGTGTGTGGCCAGTCTGTGCCCACAGCCCGAGTTCCTCTGGACGTTCTGAGTGCTGTGGGCGACCAGCTGGAGGGCTCCCCACTCCCAGCATGGGCGGGGGACCGCTGGCACTGCTGTACCTGAGAACTGCCACTGCACGGTGAAGGCGAAGATGGGGTGTCTCTTGGCACTGGGGTGCTGCTGGGCCCCTTGCAGGGGTGACAGCAGGATCTGCTTGTTGGCGGCTGTCACAGCAGTGTGGTAGAAGCCCAAGAAGGTCCCAGTTGTGTTCAGGGCCAAGAGGGTCATGCTGGAGCCCAGCTCGTTCCTCCACAGGCCCTGCAGGTCTCACTGGGGACCGGGAGTTGTGTGGGTGCCTCAGGCACTGCTGAGCCATGGTCCCCACTCCAGCCTCACTGAGCAGTGGGATGTGTGTCCCATGGCATGGCCCCTCCGCATGGCAGCTGGTAATGATGGCATGGGCACCAGCTGGGACAGCACTTCACTCTCCCTGGCAAGGGCAGGGGAGAGCTGGGAGTGCTGGGTACTGCCCTATACCAGGGGGAGGTAACCAACAGTGCCTGCAGGGACAGCACCATCAGAGCTGGCAGCCCCGTTGGTCACACGTGCTGCACGGTGGGATGGCATGACATGGTATGTGAACAGTGTGAGCTGTGTTGGCACAGGACAGCCCTACATGGCAAAGTGAAAATCTGCAACGTCCCCCTGAGCCCTGCACACTGTGCCTCAGGGCTGGCACAGCACGGCACAGGACAGCAGGGCAGAACAGACTTTGGCACAGCACAGTGTGGCGCAGCACAGCACGGCACAACATGGCACCAGAAAGCACAGCAAGAGCAGGCAGCCTCCTTGGCAGTTTGCATTGCACCCCAGGATGGCACAGCTTGGCACAGCTACAGCAGGCAGCCCTGTGCCTGCTCACAGTGCTCCACAGGGATGGTGGTGCGCAGCATGGCACAGACAGGATGTGCCACCCTCATTCAGCCACCCTCCTCCCTGGGACAGCACAGCACAGCATGGCCAGACTGCCCCAGGGTTGCCCTCACCTTCCTGGCCACAGCCTGGTGGGGGACAAGCAGGGCCAGGGTGAGCAGCAGCAGCAGCAGCAGCAGCCGAGGGTCCCCGTGGTGTTGTTGGTGGTGGCCATGAGTGCTGCTCGGGCTCTGCCTGTGCTGCTGCCCCACGCCCTTTTCACAGCAGAGGGGTCTGTGGGCAGGCAGTGGCCACCCCTGCTGGGCCTCCTGCCAAAGGACACCCAATGGGAGATTGGCCACTGGCCACTGCACCAGGCTGAGCGGGGTCTGGCTCCCCTGGGCCAGGTGGGGTTCCTGAGGACCATGGTGCGGTGGCAGGGCTGCCAAAGAGGACCCTGGAGGGTCACAGCAGGGGACACTCATTGGGCCTCAGGTTTGGCAACAGAAGGGACTGTGTAACGCCATGGAGGGGGAAGTGGGAATGAGTGTGCTGAGCCATGACATTGTCCAGAATAACTGGATTTGTTCCCCAGTGTGCAACAAGCCAATTATTACAGACTCAAGAGAGACATTGATTATTTATTTCAGAGTTGCACAAGCCTGGGTGTTCAGTGTTATTCTACAAATCAAACATATCGGCTATCAAAACTTTTTATTGTTTACACATTTTAGCAAACAAAGGTATTAATGTTCTTTGGCTACAAGGTGCATGGTTCATCCAGTAATTAGTACTCTATGTGCTACTGATTAGCGATTCCCTGATTTCTCATGCCAAGTAGTCTGCAGACTCAGTCTTTCTCCTCTTTTGAGTCAGTGAGTTTCTAGACCCAGTGGGCAATAAGTCAGTGGTCACCTGATCTCCCCCTGCTAGAATTACTTTCTACCCAGTTGGAGTTGATTCGGCACAGTTGCTGCATTATCCATATTAGTTTCTTCCTTATCTCGAGGGTTCTGCCAAATGTCCTTGTGGCCCATAAATTCTGTACTCTTTTTTAACTATCAGTAGTACATCCTTCTTCCGAAGGTTTGTTAACCTCCTCCTGAGATCACTGAAGCACGGCCAGCCCTAAACCATAACAAGGCAATTCTACCAAGAAGTAATTTGTATCTCTAACACCTGCTATGTGTTTCATGGGTTAAATTTCCTTTCTTGTTGATCAAGCTCAAAAGCATACAAAGATCAAACATCAGAGAACATACTTTCTTAGGAATATTTTTTATATATTCTACGTTTTTCAACGTCATGACAGGAGACAGTGGATATTTGCAACAAGGGTTTATTGGGAGAAACAAGTCATGGGGCAGGAGTGGGGAGTGCCCCCGCTGGGTGCTGCTGCCAGCCTGGGAGCCCCACTGCTGCCCTCCTCACTCCATCTGCCGCCGCACACGGGTGAAGATGTTGGTGCCGACCCTGCAGGGACACAGAAGAAGATATAAGGATGGGACATGACAAGGTCTAAATGTCCACTCAGTCCTATATTCTCCCATAGCATTTGCACCTTAGTGAGACTCCAGAGGATGTTATTTTTGCATGCTTTTACCCTTGCAGTAAGCAGTAGAGTGAACCTTGCCATCAAACTTTGTGAAGTCCCACTTTTGCAAACTGATATTAAACTTGCTTTTGCCAACACCTTTGACAGTGACACTGTAAGCAACCCAAACCACTCACTTGTAACAGCTCCAACCCCCACCCTGCCCCGGGATGCACAGGGGACCTGTGCAGGCCAGGGACAGGGAGCTCACCTGGTGGCTTTCCAGTCATCTTCAATGTCATCCACGCGTGACCGCAGAAGCCACATGGTCTTCAAAACCTCATTTCCATCCTTGTCCAAGAAGCACTGTCCCGTGAAAACGGTGATGGAGTCTGCAGGGACAGGACAGGAGGTAGAGTGGAGCATGGCCAGAGTGGCAGGTCTGTGCCTGTCCCAGCACACAGGACAGCAGAGCCCCCCTGGCCCCTGGGAACACTGGGGATGGGGAAAGCAGGCAGGTTCAGAGGGCTGGGGATCTCACATGGAGATGGGCAGAGAGCTGTGGGCTTCAACCCCTGTTGCATCTCCTGCACGCTGGGACTGGGAGGTGACAGCAGCCAAGGAGCTCCAGGGACAAGGATAGGGGAGCATCAAGGATAGCAGAGGGTATGGGAGATGGGTTATTGGAGGGGAAGGCAGGGAGTCAGCATGGACATTGCAGGGAGTGTCAGAAGAGCTTCCAGGGCATCACAGCAGGGAGGCAGGGCAGGTCTGGGGACACACCAGAGAGACTGGGAAAGTACCTGAAAAGGTCCAGTTGACGGTGAAGCCAAAGGTGGGCTGGCCCTTCTGGTTTTTGCGTTGCAGAGATCCTTGCAGTGGTGACTTCTGGATCTCGTTCGTGGAGGCTGTTACAGCCGTGAGGTAGGAGCCGGAGAAGCCACCATCTCCATCCACAGCCAAGATTTCCATTCTGGAGCCCAGGTCATTGACCCAGTTCCCAATCAGGTTGCACTGGAGCAGAGGGGACTCAGTACTGGTGCCACAGCACAGCCTGCAGCCCTTGCCCACCCTGCCCTGTGCATCCCAGACCTGCTCTTACCCTTCTTGGAGAGAAGCTCTGAGCCCCCAGGGCCAGGCTGAGCACCAGCAGAAAGGGAGTTACTTGCACCATCTCTGCAGCAGGCAGACAGCTGATGTACCTGTGGATATGCTCCTTGCAGGACTCTGCCAATGCTCCTGCTCCTTCTCCTTTTTATTGCTGCCAGGGCTGTGGGTGGCAGCTCTGGCCAGGGCATTATGCAATCTGGGTGTTTCCAAAGTCGTGTTTCCTAGCCATATGAGGGGGTAATTGCAGCAGACATTCCCAGAAAAAACTGCTGAAAATGCCCCTCCTTGCTCCCCCTGCACCTTGCAGATCCAATCTGGCTTCTGCCAGGACTGCCAGGAATGATGAGATGGGAAAATCCCTCTCTGGAGCTGTTGTCCGTTCTGCCACCTACTTGCCACGAGAGTGTAGTGCCAAGGAGCCTTAAACCCACTGCACCTCAGGACTGGCCACAGCACACAGCTCACCCTGCTCTTCCTCACCATGCATGCTCATGCAAACCCACCCACCATCTGGATTCCCTTGGGACTTGCCTTTTGGCCCCCCACACTCAAAATGCCCAGTCCCCTCTCTCCTGGAGCTGACATGAATGTTTGCTGCTGTTTTTACAGACTGGCTTGTGTTTGTTGGAAGGAAATTTTTTAGTTAATGAAAAACCAATATTTCCTGAATATCTTGGACATGTCATGCTGACAAAAGTTGTATTTATGCAGGGATTCTTGTATAACTGTAAGTACATATTTATATAATTCCCCTTACGTTATAGTTGTTGCTGGCCCGGAAGGCTGAAGTGGCTGGGTTCATGCCAGAGTTTCTCACCCTTTTCTCAATTGTTTTCAAGGCAGTCTCCTAAAATAAATGTTTTAATTCACCCAGTCCTCATGGCAAGAGGTGATGGAGCCCTATTCACCAGAAAACAGTAATTTTTTTTTAAATGGAGACAGAGTAGCTCTTTGCGACATCTCAGAAATACTTCTCAAATTTTGCTTTCTCTTCAGTCTCACATTTGAGCCGCAGTTTCTCTCTGACAGTAAAATTCGATGCTATCCAGGCTGGGGAGCCCTGCATTTCTGCTGCTGGCTTCTCCACAACCCCTCTCCTCTCTGCAGGAGCCCCAGAGTCCTCTGGCAAGACATCCCTGCTCAGAGAACTGGCTGCCTGCAGGACATTCCTGTCCCAGTGTTTGTGGTCTCGGAAATTAACTGCACAAAAAGGTACGTTTTCCCACATAGCTGCTGTTTGCTCTGACTGTTTTTTGGCAAGCAGGTGCTGCCTGGACCGTGGCCGATGTTTGTGATAAAGGTCAGGGTTGGTCTGGAAAGGTTTTAGAGGGCAAGAGAGGCAGACATCACTCCCTCCTTATCACATTCTTGCCATCTGCCCTTTGCTATCACCCCCTCTCTATCACCCCATCCCCATCACTGTGGTTCAGGGAGCTCCTGCTCCAGCAGGAACCCTGGGGATGGGCAATGCAAGGTCTCCATGCCTGGCAACCCAGAGCTCATTCACAGCTGTAGGTTCAGTTTAACATCACACAAACAATATTGGTTATTTCTGCCCAAAATCTTTATTTTTTTCTTGTCTGTAGCACTCCCTGTCCCACCAGCATACATTCCAGGTGCAGGGATCAGCTCGGTGTTCAAGGAGGCAGGTTTCTTGACCAGTCTCAGCTGATCAAAAATAAAACAATCCAAAGAGCTGGGGTATCTCCATGGGTTTGCACCCTCCAAAGGGCAGAGAGCAAAGCAGCTTGGAGCTGGGAATCATTGCTATGGCTAAATTCTGCAATGCCATTCCTGAGCCCTGGTGCAGCAGGAAGTGGGCAAGGGGCAGTGGATAGGTAGGGAAGAAATGCAAAGCAGAAAGCACTGAAGAAGTTAAAAATTGGCAGGGCTGTGGTTTAAACCCCATGTGTATCAGGAGGGTATGAAAAATAAGGAGGAATAATAAGAAAGGGTTAATAAATAATTCAACTTGCTTCCTCTAACTGGGATTGAATCAGCCTTGAAAAACAGTAGTACGGGCTGTACTGTAACAAAAATCTGTGACCAAGGACTGTCCTCCCTGCCTGCAGCTGTGTCCAAGTAGGAGCTGCTGAAAGCTGAATCTATCACATAAAAGATTAATCGAGGTGATAGGGCCAAAAGAGCAGGAAAAAGCAGAAATATCCCTTTATACAGACTGAACACCCCAACCTTTGAAAAAAAGCCTGGAGGCAGCCTGTTGCCTGGGGTTAAAGAATAACGCTGATGGGTTGCAGCAACACCAGCCATGTCAGAAGCTGTGCTGGCTTCAGTGCGTGCTTTTGTCCCTTTCCAGCTGGATCAGGACATTGCTGCTGCTGTTGGTAGCTTCCAACGCAAGACAAGTGGAGGGGGAAACTTCAGGTGAGCCACACTGATGTCTCAGCACCCCTGTCCCCACCAGCCTCACCCTGGTGACCCCAAGGGAGGGCATCTCTGTCCCTCTCCATCATCAATGGGCTCTGCCATGCCAGGATGACACCAGCTGGTCTTGGGGAGCCGTATCCGGGACAGTCTGTCCTTCCCGGATATTGTTATTCTTCTGTCCACATGGATGCAGGAACACTCCCCTGGGGAGTGAAGAAAGGCCCATTTGTCACCCACTAGACAGCACTGGGCTGCTGCAGTGATCCCTTGCCTGCACAAGCTCCCAGGACAAGCAAGTAGGGGAAGAATGGTCACAACAGGCAGTACAGGCTGCTGCCTACCCCAACCCTGAAGGCAATTAAGGATTAACGGAGCACTAAGCTCCAAAGTGGACAGAAACAGCTTATTGTCCTTCACTTATATCCTCAGAGCTGTCCTGCCCTTCACTGTAATGTTCTCAGAAATCCCCTGCCCTACTTGTGGTGTCTCCAGACCTCCCCTGCCCTCCCTGTGATGTCCTTGATGCACTTTTGTTTGCCCAGCTTCATCTGAGATCAGGTGAGCACCCTGTCCCTGCCTTGCACAGGTCCCCTGTGCATCCCCACAGGGGATGGAAAAGGGGCCGAGCAGGTGCAGGGCAGCAGCACAAGCAGAGCCTGGGCAGCGCTCACAGCCAGCATCACCCTCGGCTGCTGCTGCTGCTGCTGCTGCTCACCCTGGCCCTGCTCGTCCCCCACCAGGCTGCGGCCAGGAAGGTAAGGGCAGCCCTGGGGCAGTCTGGTCGTGCTGAGCTGTGATGTGCTGACAGCTGTGTTGTCCCAGGGTTCAGGGTGGTTGCATGAGGGGTTGTGTGCCCTGGCTGTGCCACACCATGTTGTCTGATGAGCTGCATGCTCTGCTGTGGCATCCGATGCCACCCCACTCCATGCCATGCCATCCCACAAGCGACGTGCATGACCAGGGAGGCTGCCAGCTCTGGCTGTGCTGTCCCTGGGGGTGCTGTTGGTTACCTTGGTATAGGAGGGTATCCATCACTCCCAGCTCTCCCTTGCCCTCCCTGGGAGGAGGAGCTGCTGTATCAGCTGGTGCCCATGCCACCGGTCCCTCGTGCCACACAGAGGCAAATGTCCCCCTGCTTAGGGAGGCTGGAGGGGTGGATGTGACTCATCACTCCCCAAGGCACCCACACAAGCCCCAGTCCTCTGGGGGCACAACAAGAAGGGCAGTGGATCTCCATAAACCCCACCCGTCCTTAAAGAGGCTGGCATAGCCTTCAAGTGCTGTGTTGACAGAGAAAGGAGAAAAATGAAACAAGGTGTCCTGCCCTGGGGAGAAGGGCACATGGTTTGTTTAGTACCAGCCAGTTGCACAGCTGCTCTCTACAAGAGCCCTTTTCTGCCTCTTGGCCTCGTCCTGCCCTGCAGGCAACAGAGGAGCGAGCAAGGGGCAGGTCTTGTCTGCCATCACATCTGGGGAGGTGGGTTGGTGCCTTTGGCAAAACTCCACAAGAGCCAGCAGCGATCAGGGCTTGCCCTCTCCCCACATCCCCGGCCCTCCAGCCCAGCCCCAGAAGAAAAAGGAGGGCAGCAAGGGCTCCCTCTTCTGGCTTGGCCCCTGGCAAAGAAGACAATAAAGAAGAACGGAGACAGCCAGACAAATTTATTAAGAACTTAAAGTGATTTATCCCCTTAAATGTGCTCCACTGCCTGCCCCCGGTGCCAGCAGGGAGGGGGGCCATGGTACCAGATCAGGACCTGCTGCTTGGGCTCAGATTGTCACCGTCCAGGGAGCCGGGTCTCCCCTGGGGATTGTATCTGCCACAGGCCCTCCGGGGGCAGAGCCAGTCAGCATGTGCAGTGTCACCCAGCCACAACTACCGACCCCACGTGCCTGCGTGCACCAGCCCAACATCCTCACACACACACACACACACACACACAGTGTCTCCACCTTACCCAGCCCGCTGACTGCAGGAGAGGTTTACCTGTACCTAACCATGACTCTTCCTCCTGAGCCGGCTGAGAGCTCATCTGGCTAGTGCATCTCCAAAACCATCTTCTCACCCTCAGTCACTGGCCGACCCCCCCCCCCCCCCCCCCCAGCTGTCTCTTGGGAGTTTGCTTTCGTGACCTGGCCAACCACACCACCCCCATCTGTTTCATGGCCTCCACTGCTCATTTCTCAGGCTGAGGACTATCTGAGGCACAGACTTTCTTCTGGCAAGGCCACTGTCCTGTTCTCTCAGCCTCGGCACCAGCTATAGGAGGCATTGCGATGCTTTCAAGAGGTGGGACACTGGCCAGAGCTGGCCAACAGACAGTCCAGGATCAGCGAGGCTTGAGGTAATTTCCTGCCAGAGGCAAAAGTTCCGGCCAAACTGGTCTGATGACAATAGAATGTATCTTGCAGCTGCAAAGTGAATGTTGTGGATACAAGCAGCTTTGTTTGAGTAAATGCTGGGAATTTTGGGGAAAGAAAGTGCAAGTAAAATTCAGTTCAAGGGAAGAATAAAAACAGCCTAGTTTGAGGGATTTCCAAAGTACTTTAATCCTTTCAGTTTTGTAATCGGCTGATGAAGCAAAGGGTCATGCCCTGTGGTGGGGGAGTTTGAGAAAGAGAAGGGGCAGACTGGGGATGAAGAGGTGAGATTCAGAAGCACACGACCCCTGGTGGTTTTCTGTCTGGCAGGAGATACCCAAAACTTTTTTCCAAAGAGAAAGTTGAAGACTTGTGAAAGGTCAACAGTGCTCACTGGATAAACAACTGTTTCAGGTGATTACCAGGACAAAAACCTCCCTCCTACAATAAGGGGAAAAAAAGGTTCCAGACACTG